AGAGGCTTGGCCTTTTCCATGACACTTGGTGTGCTTTGCCATGCGTTCCCAGGGTGCTCGAGAACTGCTTACCCAGGCAGACAGCTCAGACTTGTCCAGCCAGCAAACCTGTGCTGCCTCATTACTGCTCTGGGAATGGTTACCTGCCACCAGAAGTACTAGCAATACTCGGTCTTTTTGATGTAACTGAGGCATGACATTTTGACCAAATCAGAGGATTAGAACATTTTACCGGGTAAAGAGCCCTTATAAATGACCAGTATAGGGGCCTGGTGTGGTAGCCTAATGGCTGGGGTCCTCACCTTGCATTCACCTGGATCCCATATGGGCACTGGCTTGTATCCTGGCTGCTCAACTTCCCTTCCAGCTCCCTGCTTGTGGCCTGGGAGAGCAGTGGAGGATGACCCAAAGCCTTGCGACCCTGACTTGTGTAGGTTGTCCTGGAAGAAGCTCCTGACTTCAGATTGGCTCAGCTCTGGCTCTCGTGGCCTCTTGGAGAGTGGACCAGCAGATGGACAAACATTCTTTCTTTCTCTCTCCTTCTCTCTGTAAATCTGACTTTGCAATAAAATAAATAAATCTTTTAAAAATGAGCAGTATATATTTTAGGCACCTAGGGGAAAAAAAGGTTAAAGTAGAGCTGCAGTACACAGGTGTTTTTTTTTTTTTTTTTTAAGATTTTTCAGCTAGGTTGAAGCCAGGAGTTGGGACTCCATCTGGGGCTGCCACCTGGGTCATAGGTGGCAGGGACTCAAACACTTGGCCGTCTTCCATTATATGGAGATGGCTTGGAAGTTAAGCAACTGGGACTCAAACTGATGCCCATGAAGGATTCCAGCATTTCATGCTCGGTCTTCAGTTGCTCTCCTATAACACCGACTCCATGTACAGCGTTTATCAGTGTTCCCAAGCCTATGTTTATTAACTACCTAGAACATGCCAACAAGGCACATGTATTGCATTCTGGATTATTCCTTGTCAGTGGGTAGCAACACATGGGTCTCCACAGAGAAGTGCCCAAGCTTGTGAAGCGTGCTGTTCAGGTACAGAGGAATGGCAGTTTTTGAGTTTCTTTACCAGATATCTTACTGTAGAGAGCCCCTTCCATGGTTTACTTTCATATTTTCAGAGAGGAATAAAGCACTTTGTAAACTGTAGTAAATATAATGATTTAGTTGGAATGAAACATAAATAATTGTTGTGAATTCATGCATAGTTTGGTGAACATTCAAATTGAAGGACCTTTGCCCTTGTGGATGAGGTATAGCTGGTTGGTTGAAGGGAAGTCGCCGGCTGATGGTTATCTAAAAAGTTGTTAGTTTCTAGGTAGACACATTTTCTAGTAAGAACAGAAGGGGACAAAAATATAGTGATATATTGTCACTGTTAGCAGAAGCATCGTTTACAGCTGGGTCATCTTTTGTTGTCTAAGAGCAGAAGTGTTGTTTTACCTGCTCTTCTAGATCAGTCGTCTGAATTCAGTTGTCCCTCTGCTGGTTACTGACTATAATCTGCAGCTTAGCCACCTCTGTGCCTCTGTGAGGAGTTAGGGCAGTAACCACACATTTCGTAGGCTGCCCGGTCCCCAGGATCTCTCTCCATGTTCCTCTTGGTCTCTAAGTAGCAATTGGCCACTGTCATCTTCCTTCTCAAACACGCTCTTCCTTCCTGAGACACCAAAGTCCAATTTTCTTTTAATTTTAAAGATTAATTGATTTTTTAGTGGAAAGAAAGATTTACAGAGGGAGGGAGGGACAGAGAAAGAGGTCCTCTATCCACTGGTTTACTCCTAAATGGCCATAACAGCTGGAGTTGAGCCCATCTGAAGCCAGGAGCTAGGAGCTTCTTCCAGGTCTTCCATGTTGGGTGTGCCACCGAAGGGCTTAACCCTCCAGTGCTTTCTCATGCCATAGCTGGAGCAGAAGTGGAGCAGCCGGGACATGAACTGGTGCCCGTATGGGATGTCGGTACCACAGGTGGAAGCTTAGTGTACTCTGCCATGGTACTATGCCATGGTACCGTGCCCTCAAAATTCTGTTTTGTTTACGGAATCTCCTGCTTATTTGTATTGGCTTTTTGCTTTTCTCCCTGATTTCTAAAAGTTGGTTTTTTTGTTTTGTTTATCTGCTTCCGAGGTGCTCCATTGGTCTCATGACTTTAAATATCATCCCCGACAAGTCCTTGTGTCTCTTCAGTCCTGGTCTGTCCAGCTCAGGAATTCAGTTCGTATGTGTAATTGAAGATAGCACTTTTTAAAAATTGTTTTTTATTATTGTTTTATGATACAGTGCCAGAGGCTCTGGGATTTCCCATCCCTCTCCCCAAGTCCCTCTGCCTTGATCTTACCCGACAGCACTTCTAGAACACGTCTGATCTCTCCATCTCCCCATTGAAACACAAGTGAAGAAACCTTTTCCTTTCCTACTTACTTCATCTCGGACGAATGACCTGAGATCTGTGATTGACTGTTGATTTTTCTCCTACGCTACATACATCCAAGCCAGCAGCAAGTATTGTATTTTGAATCATTCCTCTTTCTGTCTGTGTTCCTAGCAGCCTGGGCCGAGCCAACATTTTTGCTTGCCCATGCTTACAGACTTCTAACTTGTACCCCTCCTGTCCACTCTGTGCGTAGCTGCTGGGCAATTTCTTTTAAAAGCAAAACTATCAAAGTGTCACTTCCTTATTTAGGACCCGCTAATGGCTTCCATCAGCTTGTAAGATAAAATCTAATCTTCCATAGCTTACTCATCTGTGCTCAGTTTCCATTGCTAAGAAATGGGGCTAATTGTGACTTGAGAAAATAAACTCTAAGGGAGACACATACTGTGGCATTGCACTAACCCACCACTTGGTGCTACTCATCCCATATTCCACCTGCTCCACTTTCAGTCCAGCTCCCTGATAATGTGCCTGGAAAAGCAGCAGAAGACAAGTCACTCTGGGGAGAGGGGACTGCGTCTGTGTGGGAGACCTAGATGAAGCCCCTGGCTCTTGTCTTTGGCCTGGCCCACCCTTGTTGTTTTGGCCATTTTAGGGTCATGAACCAGCAGATACAGGATATCTCTCTCTCTCGCTCTCTCCCTCCCCCCCGTCTTCTCTCTATAACTCAAATAAATTTTAAAAACTCTGGGGTCAGACACATTGACTGAACTGGCTAATCTTCCACCTCCAAGCACAGCATCACATTTGCATACTATTTCATGTCCTGGCTGCTCCATTTCCCATTCAGCTCCCTGTTTGTGGCCTGGGAAAGCAGCAGAGGATGGCCCAAAGCCTTGGGACCCTGTGCCTGCGTGGGAGACCCAGAAGAGATTCCTGGCTCCTGGCTTCAGATCAGCTTGGCTGTGGCCATTGTGGCTACTTGGGGAATGAACCAGCAGATGGAAGATCTTTCTATCTCTCCTTTCTGCAAAGCTGCCTTTCCAGTAAAAATAAACTTCAATTAAAAAAATAAAATATAAGCCCTGTGAAGGTACAACTTTTTATTTACTTTGATCACCATCGTTTTACCAGTGCCTCAAACATTGTACATACTAAGTACTCACTAAATAATTGTTGAAATAATAATAATCTGTGCCGTGTGGGCTCCTAAGGCTTTCTCCACTTTTCCATTATATAAAAAGTCCAGAAATAGCTCTGGTACAGTAGCTCCCTTCTTCTCTGTTTTCACTCACTGCACATGATCCTGCCCCTTTTCTGTCCTTCAGATCTGAGAATATGTAAGTGACTAAATGAAGCAAGAAATAGAAATGCAAGAGGAACCCTGAAGATGGGACCAACAGTATTTTTTAAATTATCCTTTTACTGCAGAAATTTCGTAATATGTATAAACAACAGTAGAATAACAAATTCTCATCTCTCCATCACCCCTTATGACCATTCGTTGAACCGTCAGTATTTAATCTGAACGTTGCTTATGGTAAGGGAAGGTGTAGTTTTTACCACTGTATGACCTGGATGTTTAAGGATGCCTTCAAAAGTTTTTGGAAACATAGAATTAAAAGATAAGCTTATTTAGGTGCAGAAGTTCTTTTTAAGTTCGCTCAGTCTTTTGATAATTCATGTTTCCCATTAACTTTTTAAAGATCCCCTGTGTGCATGGATTTCAAAAAAAAATTGTTTTACCCTGATGAACTCCTCTTTTAATACTGTCTCCTGGGGCTGATATGGTTGTCATAGAAAGTTAAGTTGCTGCCTGAGATGCTGGCATTTCATTTGGGCACTGGTTGCTAATGTGCTTGGGAAAGCAGCAGAAGATGGCCCAAATGCTTGGGCCTCTGCACGCATGTGGGAGACTTGGAGGAACCTTGGGGCTTCTGGCTTCAACCTGACACAACCCTGACTGCTGTGGCATTTTGAAGAGTGAACTGGTGGATATAGGATCTCTCTCTCTTTGTCTCTCTCCCTCTGTATAACTCTACGTTTCAAATATGTTTTTTAAAAAAAATCTTTAAAAAGTGTCATTTTTTTGGAGTTCCTTGGTGCCTTAATCATTATTACTGTTTTATACATGAGCTGAGGACAGATGAAGTATGAGTTGAAGGATGTTGGAAATGTTCTAAAATATCTTTTCCAGTTCATTTTTTTGGTGAACATCTGGAATGTCAACGTTAGCTCAACCATCAATTTGCAAACTGTAACTAAGGCTGAGAAGGGACGGATGTGAAGCTCATTAGCAGTCACTGAGCTTAGTGGAAATTGGTTAATTAGAAGCATGCTTATCTGATGGATAAGCAAGAGCAGGCTTCGATGGAAGATATGGATGACGGGCACCTGGGGTGAAGATGGCCAAGTAAGGGCAAGAGGCTGGCAAGGACCTGCTGTGTCCTGGTCCAACTTGGCCCCTCTGCCTCACTGCCTGTGGCCAGCGGTGTCCTGTAGTTTGGGGGATGCTCGCCATTCACTGTCATCCGGGCTGCCTCCGTTGGCCACAAGGGCCCTGGGAAGGCAGTCCGGAAGGGGCTTCCAGTTAACTTCTGCTGCTTGTTTATTTTTAGGTATCTTGCAATATATTCAGAACTCTCCCTCCTAGTGACAGCAACGAGTTTGATCCAGAAGAAGATGAACCCACCCTTGAGGCATCCTGGCCACACTTACAGGTACATGAAACTACCTTTTGTTCTAAAAGAAGGATCCATTAACTCATTAGCTGATTAGCATGGGAATTTCTTGGAAGCCTTGATTCACCATGAAATCGTATTAGAGTGCATTAATAGAAAGCCGGAGAATGCTTTTAATGTCTCTTACTCTTGATAATGTGAATGTCAGAAACATAAACTAGTGCGTTTCACTGTGGTGCTTTGGTGTGAGCTCTGCCCTGTGTTGCTGGTCCAGCCAGCAGTTCCTGTCTTTCTTAGAGCTCGTTTGTGATCCTGCCCACTGGAGCCTCAAACAAGGACAGAACTATATTCACATTAATATTAGTTGCATGTGATTAGGTCACAGAGTCCATATTTCACTTTTGGCTGTCATTCCCCTGGGGACTTTGTGTGCCTGTCCTAATGATAATCATAAGTGTGCTTCTTCAGGACACTTTAGGAGGGCAAAGCTGAACCGCAGCAGCTGTTTCTTTCACGGTGTTGTAAGGAGGAGCAGGGGCTGAGAACGTGCTTGGGGGAAGGCCAGTTCTGTTCTCCTGCACTAGAGGAGGCCGTGATTTCCAGTCGTACTCACATGGCAGGATGGACTGGGGCATCACACATCTTCTTTTCCAGCATTGGGCTGTCTGTATTGTGTGGGCTTGTACATGCTGGCCATTTTATGGCTCCTCCTTTCCTGGCCACCTTCTCTCCTGACCAGCATTTCTCAAAACGTTAGTGGAGATGGGTGGATGTGTTCTTGTCGCTGCACAAGGAAGAATTCAGGCAGGAGACAGGGAGTAGTGATAAGCAAGGTGACAAGGTTTAATGGGTAGAGCATCCTTTATATAACAGATGGGTACCTGTCCAGTCAGGAGTGAGAGAGACAGACTGCCAGGGTTGCGTAGTTTAGTGGAAAGAGTACCCCACTCAACAGGGCCGGTGTCTCGGGAGAGCTTCTAATCAGGTGGGGGCTTGGCATGGAATGTGGTCTCACTCTTTCTCCCGTTTTTTCTTCCACCCACACTTTCTTCTGAAGTTTACTGTTTGTGAAACTGATTTTTTAAAAAAAAATTCCTCCCAAGGTTTTATTGCCCAGTGTTATCACATTGGGTAGCCACTTGGCTCTACGTGTCTCTCCTTAGGTGGAAGACTGGGACCACCTCTAAAGTTATCAGCGTTTAGGCAAGAATTTTAAAAAATTTGTTAACTTTGAAAAAGAGAATGGGAGAGGCAGAGAGAGAGAAAAAGAGAGCTTCCATTTGCTGCTTTACTCTCCAGATGGTGACCAGGGTCAGCACTGGCCAGGCAGAAGACCAGAGTCAGGTCCTGCTCTGGGTCTCCCCTGTGGGTGGCAAAGGCCCAGACACTCGGGCCCTCTTGCACTGCTTTCCCCAAGGCCATTAACAGGGAACGTAATCACAAGTGCAGCAGCGGGGACACGAACCCGTGCCCGTGTGGGATGTTGCTGTCACAGGCTGTGACTTTAGCCACTAAGTCACCACTCTGCTAGAGGTGCCACTCTCCTTTCCGCAGGTCTTTTGTTTCCGTAGGCCCCTTGTACACAGAAGCTAATTTCTAACTTCCTGTCTTAACAAAAGAGCAGAAGAAAGATATCTGAGAATATTTAACCCCAAAGCCATCTTTCCATTGAGTCATCATGTCCTCAGAGATGGGGTGACAAGCATCAAGGGGCTAGGGGTGCAGAGCAGGAGTGTATGGCCTTGTGTGTTCTCTCCCCCAGGCACGCTGTGTTTTGTAGAAGTGTTCTCAGGGCTCCTAAATGACCTTTTGAAGATGAAAAACCACTCACTCAGCGGGAGATATGGTCTAGAGATAGCCTGTTCACTTTTTCCCCTCATAAATTTTTGACATATGTTTACAACTTGGCTGCTCTTGGCTGTAGATACCCATGGAAGCCGTTCCCCTTTGCTGTATGTAATGTGTGAATTCTGGGGACTCTTCTCAACTTGAAGGTGGGCATGCCATGCATATGTATCCCTGCTTTCAGTGCCAAGAGCAGTAAATTAGTTGAAGCACATAATTGATTTACTATCTTAGGTATTTGGGTTTTTTTTTTTAAAGGTGCCAGACATGCTGTCTGCAACCTAGAAACTTGCTTTTTCATAGGTATATCACAGATTGTGATAAAGCCAAAAAGAAAAAAAAAATATTCTTGTGAATGAATGGACTTCTTGTGATGTCTCAGTTGTAATAGGTATGGCACCTGGAACTGCAGGTTAGCCTGGAAGAAACTTTCTCTTTTTTCTTCTTCTTTTAAATATCTACAAGAACATTCCACATCACATAGTGACAAAGTGGGGAAGAGACCTGTCTTCAAAGCCTGAACTTGCTCTCTGTCTCAAAGAAGAGATGAGACTGCCCTCGCCACTTGGGACAGCTGTTAGAATGCTCTGAAGTCACATCGTCGTAGAGAGGACTTCCCTCTAAAGTTCAGTGGTGTTTAACTCAGTTCTGCAGATAATTCTTCCCTGTATTTCATGACTCTATAAAACATAGGACCAAATCACTTCTTGAAGCTAATGAAAACCTGGGAACCAAGGCAACAGGGAAGAATGCTGATGAAACCATAGAGTCCTGACTGTGTTCCAGAACAGTCTGGATTCACCTGTGCTGACATTTTGTCCGAGCCTGTGGTCCTCACCCCTTCTCTAGCTCATGGGGGGAGAAACCAGCCATGAAGTCTTAACTGGTCCTGGGCTTGACCCTTCCCACGAGCAGGTCAGCCTTCCCAGAGAGCAACGTTCAGCTGGTAGGTGCACCTGTTGCTTTGCGGATGACGTCATGCAGTCATCCACTTCAGAGTGCTGCGTGTCCTTCTGTTTTCACCGACAGGTGGGTTCAGTACTGACAGGAAGTGTCACCGAATCTTCCGAGATGTTCTTTTCCTGCTCTTGATGGCACTCATGTGGTAGTCACGCATCACTAACTTTAGCGTTTTACTGCCTTATTGAAGCAGCAGTCTCTTTTTCCGGCTGAAACTCAGCATGGTCTTAGACATCTTCACTTCTTAAAAGCTCCGTGAGCAGCAGTGTTTCCTTTTTTGGATCACGTTTTATAAGGAAGCAGACTGTTAAGAAGCTCGTGGGAATTGGACTGAAAAGATAACTATTTTGAAATAGAAAATGTTGGAATCGCGTATACTGGTAGTGTCTCAAATGTTTATGGAAAATGTGAATTATGCGAAACTGCGTGTACTAAAACTTTTTGCATAAAACGAGTATCTTAATTCTGTTTTTTTCATGGCCTTTTTGAGCTGTTCTCACAATTATCTGAAAATAGTAGAATAGCCAAACGTTGCGATTCTGTTACTGGATTGTTGGCTTTACTGCCTAGTTGGTTCATTGATCTTGTTTCAGGTTCTCTAGTTGAGTTTTATATAGTATCAAGGAAGAGTATCTACTATATAGACTGTGTCAATACTTTATTTTTCCAACTACTAGATCCGTTTGAGGCTTGAGGTTCTTTATACGCTTTAACCGGAGCAGCGTGTCAGAGCAGATTGAATATAGGGACAGGTTAATAATCTGTGTTCTCTTAAGCAGCTATTTGAAACGGTTACAGGAACACACAGAATGCCTATCTTATAATTTTCTTGGAAGATGAAGTGACTTTTCACAAAATGATTTGTTTTGACATCTAAAGCTATTTGTGATAAAATGAAATACGTTCATATTTGAAATTTTCTGTTTTGTTTTAAAAGATTTATTTTTTATTGAAAGGCAGACACACAGAGGAGGAGAGACAGAGAGGAAGATCTTAATTCTGCTGATTGACTCCCCAGGTGGCCACAATGGCCAGAGCTGAACTGAAGCCAGGAGCCAGGAGCATCCTCCTGGTCTCCCATGCAGGTGCAGAGTTCCAAGACTTTGAGCCATCCTCAGCTGCTTTCCCAGGCCTCAGGCAGAGAGCTGGATGGAAAGCAGGGCCACCGGGACATGAACTGGTTCGTATATGGGATCCTGGTGTGTGCAAGGTGAAGACTTTTAGCCACTAGCCTACAGCACCAGGTCCCAATTTTCTCAGTTTTTATTCCCAATTTGAGACATATATCTGACATAAAGAAAAAAAATTTTTTTTTAAAATTTCTGTTGAATTTTATCTATAAAGGAATAGTACCAAAAAGTTTTCAACTTGTATTGAAAGCAGTAGTGATGAAAATCTATTTCAGTCACTGCGCAGAGGGCTTGGTGTAGATTATCATTTTTAGGAGGACCGTGTAGCATCCTCCTGGTTATGATGTTGAAGAAGCAATTTCAGAGAAAGTAACTTAGTCAGGGGTCACGGTCAGTAAGGGATGGAGCCAGACCTGCAACCTAGCATCTGCCTCGTAAAAGTTCTGTTGTTTATTATTATTATTGTTTTTCCTTTTAAGATGAATTTATTTATTTGAAAGGCAGGTTTATGGGGAGTGGGGCATTGGGGGGGACATGGAAATCTTCATCTACTGGTTCACTCCCCAAATGACTGCGGTGGTTGAAGCAGGGCCAGTCAAAAGCTAGGAGCCAGGAGCTTCTTCCAGGTCTCCCGTGTGGTTGCAGGGGGCCCAAGCACTTGGGCTATCTGCCATTGTATACCCAGGCTCATTAGCATAGAGCTGGATCAGAAGTGGGGCAGTTGGGAGTCACACTGGGTACCACAGGCGGTGTATGGTGTAACTTTACCCGCTACGTCACAGTGCTGGGCCCAGAAGTTCTGGTTCAGTATACCAGAGAACCTGATTCTCTTATTAGGCAGAGAGAATGTACAATGAGCCCGTGGTGTTTATCAGGACAGTTACTAGAAGTTGACTCTTCGCAGATATGTATATGGTGCCATGTTGCCATACATTGGTTGGTAAACTTGCTGTACACTTTCTGAAAATAAATTTGCTAAAGCTTATCTCCAGCCTTGATGGTTTGGATCTCTTTTTTTTTTCCCCCTAGAAATTCCACTTGAAGAAGTATTTACTTCTGAAATAACTGAGCACATGTGTATTATGATATGTTGTGTAATGTACGTTATGGCACCGTTTGGTGAAGCTGTGATTCAGAAACGAGTTAATTGTTGAAGTGTAGGAGATTGGCTAAGCTCACTGTGGGCAGTGGAAGTTTTCATTCCGTGTGCTGCACTATAGCTGCTGAAGATAATGGGTTAGGTTGATTACGATGTGTAACTTAAATAGCAAAAGCAGTTTGAAGAATTTTGTAAGTTACATTATAATGTATTCTTCCTGCTGGTGTTCTCTGAAAGGTGAGATTACAAGGCACTTTTATTTGCTTTGTTTGGCTATATTTTCTAATTTTTGATTAAAAAAGTTAAAAAGAATAGCAGCTGTAAGGTACAAGAAAGGCTAGAATGACTTGTTGGTTGATATCAAAACGTGGTTTTCTAAATTCTGTCTTTGGGCTTCTCGTGGTGTTAGTACTATTGTTAATGAATCATAATGTGAAATTAACATATTCTGTTTGTTGCAGCTTGTATATGAATTTTTCATACGATTTTTGGAAAGCCAAGAATTCCAACCCAGCATTGCCAAAAAATACATAGATCAGAAATTTGTATTACAGGTAAGCAAATTCCTGTGGTAGGTTTATTCAGTTGTTTATGCTGTACCAGATTTTCTCTTGCGGTGACAGTTGCATCACAAGTGACTGAGTGAGTGTGTGTGTGTGTGTGTATATAATTAAAGGCTACCTCTATTTGTGGTGGAGTTAATTGTACTCTGCACAGCCAGGAAGGCTAGTGCCTAAATCCTTGCCATTTCCTTTCTTGACGTTAATTAGAAAGGACCTTCATTTATGTCACCTTGGTTTGTATGAATCTATGTGCAGTTTTAAAAACTTTGTGTTTGAATAACAATTTCTGGAGAGTTATTACCTGTATTGTTAAACCCAAGTAGGCAAGCTTATACCGTGGAAGCTAAGTAGCCTTTAATAACCAAGGTCGGGGTACTGGTGAGCTTTTAGCACTAGAAATTAACACAGTGGGACACTTCGGAGATGGACTGTGGCCTGTCCATTTAGAACTTCTCAGGGAATGCATTTTTTTCCTGTCTTCTCATTGACCATGTTTTTACTAAGGATTTGGCTTTTCTCATGACCCAGAACTTTTAGGTAACAACTCCTTCTTCTTGGTAATTTTCTTTCAAAAGTGGTACTGGAACCACATGGCTGTATGGGAAGTTGTAACTTCTTTCTGAGTGACACTGGGGGCAGACATCTGTATACGAGTAGGCAGGAAGTACAGTTTCTGATATTGACTGTGTGACACCTGACAGATTCCTGGGGTTCAGTTCAGTAGCATGCAGGGGGCAGGCCAGCTTCAGAGACATCAGGGCTGGGAGGCCCCTGTGCTTCCTGGCTAGCATGGCTGAACGGGATAAACGCAGCTCACAAATGGAAGGGATGAAGGTGCGTCGGCTCATCTTCACCCCCTTGTCACGCTCTTGCAGGACAGGGGCAGGTCAGTGAAGCTGCTGTACGTTAACGGGGACTGAGATGACAGAGATGGCCCGAGTCCTTCCCGCATCCCTGCTGTAGTTGGTAGATGGCCCAAGGGAGCAAGTGTCATTTCAGAAAAGTTAAAGTGGTAAATGCTAAATCCGTGCCTTGTGTTGGAAAACTGTTTTATGGAGGAGCACCTTTTTAAAAAAAAAAAAAAAAGATTTATTTATTTTTATTGGAAAGGCGGATATACAGAGAGGAGAGACAGAGAGGAAGATCTTCCGTCCGATGATTCACTCCCCAGGAAGCCACAACGGCTGGAGCTGAGCCCATCCGAAGCCAGGAGCCTCTTCTGGGTCTCCCATGTGGGTGCAGGGTCCCAAAGCTTTGGGCCGTCCTCGAGTGCTTTCCCAGGGCACAGGCAGGCAGCTGTTTGGGAAGTGGGGCTGCCAGGATTAGAACCGGTGCCCATATGGGATCCTGGCACATGCAAGGCGAGGACCTTAACCACTGCGCCCATCGCACCAGGCCCGAGAGTGCCTTTTGCACGCTGTCGAAAGGTGATGAGGTTTGTTCAAGCTGACTCAGTGCTTCAACCTCCCGCGATGCCCTGAAGCCTTGTTGTGATTTGCTTCCCTTTGACACGAGGCGGTGAGAGGAACAGCCCCTGTGTTTCATCACCAGTGAAATAGCAGGATTCTCCTCTATTTTTGGTGAATTCCTGTGCCTGAGAGAATGAGGTAGTGATTGTCCGGAAGGGCCTGCGTTTAGTTGGTAGGGAGACATGCTGAAGCCGGTGCCTTGTACAGAACGCCTGCAGGACCCGGCCCTGAGTGCTGTCCATGGTAAACGGTGCCCGGGAGAGGAAAGCGCATGAGGAGCCTCTAGGCAGATCCTGGCTTGCAAAGGACACTGTTTGGGTGGTATGTTCTAGTTCTTTCCCCAGGCACACAGTCTTCTCTGAGACACTTTTCTTAGTGAAGGAAAGCCACTCACATAGGCAGTTCCTTCCGTTTTTGTTAGAAATTCCTTTCTCCCTCCCTCTCTCCTCTCCTTTCCTCCCTCCTTCCTTCTCTCTCTCTCTTCCTTTCTTTTCTAATGTTGAACCTCACTATGTTATGGCATGATTTTTCCCAGAATGGTTTCACTGTATTACTAACCCAGACATAACCTTTTTGGTGTTGGAAAGCCATTTTTTTGTGTTCTTGTTTTTTTTTTATCTAGTCACTACAACTGGAATGCTGAAAGCCTTCTTCCTGGTGACAGTGAATGAAGTGGAGGTGGACTGGTGTCCATGAACGGCAGCTCAGCCCCCCTTCATTCAGTTATTGTCAGACCCCCCCCGCCCCACTTCCCTTTAGGGAAACAAATCTAGAAATTTGTGTGACATTTTTTGATATTGCTAGATCCTCTTGGGGATGAACTATACCCCGTGGCTCACTGCGTCAAGCCCATCAGCTATTAACTGTCAGTTCTCTTGTAGACAGAGTATCGAGTCAATGTTTTCTCATTGCCAGCTTTTGAAGCTGTCAGCATCTTTTGGATATGCTCATGTGTCTTCTTAAAAATTTTATTGTTAATATTGTTTATATAGTTGAGGGGATGGGGGAGATGGACACCCCTGTGGCTCTCCGATAAAGGTGGGGAGGGTCAGAGCCATGGAGAAAGGTGGGTGGGACAAATGTTGCAGTTTTTTTTTTTTTCCTTCTGTGTGGGCAGCAAGGGAAGGGAGGGTGCAGTGCCTGCTGTCAGACTGTAAGCACCCAAGTGTGGGGGAGATGCCTTAGAGACCCTGATGTCGGGGACAGTGTTCTGGAACCATCACGTGAATGATTTGGATAGTTTTGAGACATTGCCAGCTTTGTGGATGCAAGGTTAGGAGAATCTTTCCAAGGTCTGTTGGCTAACCAAATCCACCTTACTGCATCCATAGACCCAGATACTTGCTGTGAAGCTTGGCCAGAGGGTGGTCCAGCCATCTGCTTTCCATCTTCTGATGAGGCACTTGTTGTCCTCTACTTGCCTGGATGATCTGGCCGTCATGTCCCTTGCGTACATTTGGGCATGCTGTCATGACATCATGCACAGGCATCGGTAGCTGAGGCCTGGTCCTGACACATGCACTCCAAACTTGGACCACATACATTGTGATGTTCCCTGTGGCTAGGATTTGAGTCCAGCCGTCTAGTTGTAGAGAGTCCCAGAAACCTCCCCTAGGGCGATCTCAGGCTTGGTTCTTGTGTGCTGCAACCATTACAGGGTCAGGTTCTATCTGTTACCTGCACTAGATACAGGTGCCTGGTCATTTCTCTCCCAGCCCCATCTCTTACGCGAACTGATGGTTGCTGTGGCGTAGCCATCCCAGCCTACCACAGACCTGGTCTTCACTCACCAGCAGGTGCTGTGGCCTAACTGGGGCAACTCCCAAGAACCCCCACCAGACTTGCCCCTATTAGCCGCAGTTTTTCGTTTTCTGGCGTGTGCTGCAACATAGCTTAGTCTGTCCCACATCCCATCTAGCTCTCATACACACTTGGGGTGCTGTGGATTAGCTTATTCCAACCCATCCCCAGACCTGATCCACACGTGAGCCAATGGGTGCTGCTGCCTTAACCAGCCGTTCCCAGCCCTAGCTCTCATGATCACCAGTGGGAGCTGCTGTCCACACTCTCATGGTGCTTGTGCGTTTTGTACCTAAGCAGGGTTCTCTTATGACGTGTGGTCATTGCGTATTTCCTTTTTGCCAATCAGGATGGCACTTACTTTGTTCCTTTGGGTACATTTAGATTCTCTGTAGCTGTTTAATGATCTCCAACAGAGTTTCAGTGATCTCAGGTGCATAGTTTGCTGGATTTAAATATGGTTTCTATAGCAGCTGAATGTATTCTGTACAGTTTTTTTTTTCTGATTTTCAGTCCCCTGTCAGTGAATACAAAAGCAAAGTCAGAATTGAGCTATTTTCAAGTCATGATGTAGTGGAAAGTTAGGAAGCCCAGGGATTGAATCTGACTCCCCTGTGTAATGCTAAGTGTATTTTAGGAGCCAAGAATGTGAGCTGTGGGGTCAGATGAAACTGCATTCAAACCCTGGCTGTGCTTGACTTTCAGCAAGTTTGTGCACTTCCTGCGCAAGGCCGAGTTTTTTCATCCATGACATGAGGCATAAATGAAATGCTTTTAAGTACTGTAGGAGACGCCCTAAAGTTGACAGCTCGATTCAGTTGGCAGTTCGGATACAAAGCCAGGATCTCTCCCTTCAATCTTAAACAGGTATTGAACCCTCTGGGCAGCTCTGACTAATCTGAGCCACATTATCCTCTGTGAGTGCTGGGGAAAGTCACCTCTGGGACAACAAGTCACGAAAATTAGGCTTGTTTTAAGACAAAACTAGTTCATTCGTAAGAATGTCTGCTGGCGTAATAGTTGCTTATTAAGTATTTTTTTCACATCTTAAATTATCTACCCACATTGGTAGGGTATCTTATTTTCTTGAATCCAGTGTTAATTTTAAAATTTCTAAGATGGGAAACAAAATGTAAGAATCCATCCAAAACATTAAAAACCTGCAAAGCAGGCTTGACTGAACGCAGAAGCGTTGCAGATGGGAAGGCTGGCCAAGGTAAAGATTGCACGCAGTCCCCAGCCCCCGACACTGTTTGCATGCACTGTAATGCTGAGGAAGGAGGCTGGCACTGTGGCAGAGTGGGCGACGTGCTAGGGCCAGGGAGGGTGAATCCGCATCCCAAGTCCTTTTGGCACTGGAGTCAGTCCACTGTCTTCACCGCTTGAAACCTTTGCATGGCAGGTTAAGGTTCCCGCACGTGAATTGTGGAGGACACACTCAGACCATAGCAACATTCAGTAATGATTTTGGAAGAAAATTGTTTTCATTATCTGAACGCATGTGGTTATTTGTGATCCTCATCTTCTGGCTCTTTTTTTTTTTTTTTTCCAATGTCTCTTTTGAGTTTAAAAACTGAAGAGCATCAGGTTATAATCATTACGAATAGTAAGAAGATTTCCCTTGTAAGTACATTCTCATTTTATTCCCTTGTATTTTTCATAGACTTAAGCAGACTTTGTGTAATTAGCCTTCCCAAGACTGTTTTCATAGGACAGCACCAT